TTAACTTATTTATGTTTTTAGTTTATATGGGTTTCTTTTAATCTTTTATAATTGTAAACTGCCTAGAGTTACCTTGAGGTAAGAGGGAGCGTCTATAGATTTTATAAATAATTAAATACATTTTAAAGCATTTTATTACATAAGGTGAAGGTTCCCCTTGCACATATGTGCTTGTCATTCCAACTTTAGTGGGCGGTGCTCATCTCCATTTCAGCCGACGAGCCAGTGCTGTCCGAAGACATCTCCATGGTCATGTTGCTGGCATGACTAAACACTGAAGGCGCATGGAACGCTGTTACCTTCCCACTAAAGGTGGTCCCTATTTTTCTACTTGCATTTTGCATGCTTTCGAACCGTTAGGTTGGCAGAAGCTGGGACAAGTAACGGGAGCTCACTCCGTTACGCAGCGCTAAGGATTCAAACCACTGAACTGCCGACCTTCCTGATCGACAAGCTCAGCATCTTAGCCACTGAGCCACCATGTCCACAAAACATACATTTCAATATTGCCAGAGGTGTGAGATTGTTTACAAAAATAACCTAAGGAATGCTAAGAAATGGTTAAGATAAAGGTAATGTATTGTCACTTTGTTCTGTGAACATGCTGGCACGCTGTAAAAAATGAAATTCTGATGCCCGCTCTCAAAAGAAAAAGAAAAACATTAAAAATTAATTATCAAATTAAGTTTTAAATACGGCATCAGCTCATATTGTCATGAACATTTTATGTATATTTGATTAAGCATGGACCTCTTTTTAACGTTCCAATTCCTGTATAGGAGAAAAGAAAAAGGCTGGCTGTTTAAAAGTTTCTGCGCCACCTTTTCTTTAAAGTTTTTTTTTGCCTTTACATAAATAACTAAATTGCAAATTTATCTTTTCTTTCTCACCTGTTTACATTGGTGCAAATACAATTTATGATGTGCTACAAAACAAGGTGCCCAAAACTATGCACACTGTGCCAGGAAATCTTAGCTTTTTTTAAAAAAAATTGCTGTGCTTGTTCTGAAAGCAAAACAAGTAGAGTTCCAAAATATTTTACTGTAGCAAAAATATGAAGGCGCATCTTTTCAACATGCCTAAATATTAACAGACTCACAGAATTGGAAAGATAATTCAATCCAGCCCTCTCCCAATGTGGGATAATTATTTTTACAGCATCTTCTGCTATTGGACTATCCAGCCTCTGCTTAAAGACTTAACAAAAGAAAATCCAGCCCGTTTTTGACAATACAGAAAGAAAATTACTTGAAATATTCTAATGTTCTATTGAATAAATCATTCTATTTAAATGCATTGGCCATGCCTCCTTTTGAAAAACTTTTATTTTGAAGTGAACAGAATTGAAGACAGGTACAATAGTGACATATGTCTTTAGCTAGTTGACTCAGATTTCCCCAGGATAAATCCTCAAATTTTCAAGCCTATAAAATTAAGATTTAACCAAAGTTGTACCAAACTGGCAGCAATTTACATGACCTGGAATATAACAATATTTTAAAACTAATTAGCAGATGGAACAATGTCCCCTGCTTATAGTTCCACTTTAGTGGTGGGTTGCTACAAGTTTGCACTGGTTCGGGCGACCCGCTAGTGGTATTTTAGCTTTGGTCGCCTGAACTGGCAGCAACCCAGGCTGGCCACACCCCCAAATTGGTTCCCCGGTTGCTGTTGCTGGCATCTTTTTTTAGTATTTTTTTAATGTTTTGTGCATGTGCAGAACAATTTATAGTCAACTCAGTGGTGGGATGCGGCCAGTACGCCCTGGTACGGGCATACCGGTGCCTGCTGGGAGCACCAGGTACCAT